AAAAAAAAAAAAAAAAAAAAAAAAAAAAAAAAAAAAAAAAAAAAAAAAAAAAAAAAAAAAAAAAAAAAAAAAAGTCGGGTCACAAACATAAACAGACATACACACGCCTACGCACACACACACACACACATATCCATAATGTGGCTAAACAAATGCGAAAATCAAAGAAGTTGCGTAAATACAGGTCTCTCTCTCTCACGCATTTGTTTACATTTACGCTTGCAACCGCAGCATGCAACAAAGCTGAAATGTCAATTTGCTGTCAAGAGAAGAACAGCAAAGCCAGCGCATGCATGGCAGTAGAAGAAGCGCTTAAAACAATAGTTGCTCGACAAGGAATGCTTCTGTTGCCGAACAAATAGCAAACATGCGACGGGAGATTACTCATATGACTCCTTGGTCGACCATGGTAAACAAATGTCACTTGCCGCATGCCACATGCTACATGCAAAATTCAATGATAGTTGTTCTTATTAGAAAGTAGTTGTATAACGGTGCTTCATATGTTTGTAGGTTATTGCGCGTTTACAAAAAGCAAAGAAAACTGAGGAGCAAGTATGAAGAAGTATGAGTATCGAGTATGAAGACTCGATGATCTTAGCTCTAGCATTTTTTGAGCGGAGAAGAGCAATTTTCACTTTTCTTTGAGAAATATTTTCAAAAATGCACCAAAACTCTCTATAATTATCATAACGGGTAAATCCAGAAGAGGTACTTTTCTCAATAGCGTTGTTTTTGACAGATCGCTTCGTTCTATAGGCGCTTGAAAAGTTCCAAGAAGATCCGACGTTTTCGAGCCAAATTTTGCTCAGCGATGAGGCCAACTTAAGAGACTCAAAAGCGATCGTTTTATCCAGAAAAACCAACGGTTCGGGTGCGGTGGAATCATCGGTCCATATTTCCCCCTTCGATTCAGACCTTGAAGCAAAACATCGCTCGTGTCTTTCGCAATTTATTCGTCGAAATCCACGAACTAGTTATCAAAAATTGGACTTAACGGATGGACCGTCTGAAACATAGCCGCGACCAACATCTGAAAGAGATAATATTCAAAACTAAAACGCCAAAAAAAGTTCTTTCGAATGATAATAAATATACCCCGCAAAATTTGAAGTTTCTGTGTTTTTTTTTTTGAAAGAGTTAGAAACCTCCAAATGGATCACCTTTTACAATGAATTACCAAAATTTTGTCACAATAACTTCTTAAAACTTTCTCTCACAAATGAAAATATATTCTAATACAAATTTTATTTACTTCTCTTTCTACTCTATCCCAGTTTCTTTCGACTACGACTGCAGTCAGGTAGAATGTGCTACGAATACCGACAGCTGTCCGCCAGATAGCATAGAAAGTGAGCCAGCGCCTTCATTCGATGTGCTATATGGACCCGAAGAGCTCATGCCACCGCATGACTTCTACGATGAGGTGGAAGATCTGGGCGATGCGGTGGAGCAACACTTTGATGAACTACCAATGGAATTGAGTGATGTTACTGCGTTGCCATTTGCAGCAAATTCGACATTAGGTCAGCTGTCCGATGATAGAGCCACAAAAGGCTTGGAGACTGAAAAAGGGCCTGAACTTGTGCTGGTGAAGCGTCAGCTTTACTTTGACAATGGTCCTACCGAAGCCATAGGTGAGCATGAGCGCATGCTACAAATATGTTGTCCGACCATGACACTTGAGAGTCTACAACGACGGCGGAGACGACGTTATTCTAGTGTAGAAGATTGCAAGTGCAAGCCCTGCAAGCCGCTACCGCAGTGTGCGAGCGGTGAGGTTGCCGTAAGAGTGCACGAGGCTAAAGGTGTACCAGGTGACTGTTGTCCAAGTTACATCTGCACGCCTAAAAAAGAATGTAACGATGCTGATGTGCAACAATACTGGCGTGATGCATGCACACGTTGCAGCTGCCATGGCGAAAATGGACCTGAACTTTGCCACAATGAATGCCCTATGAATGAAATGGGCGAGATTGAGATACAGCGCAGTTGTTACGCTTCCGATTCGAATGAGCCCATGTTGCATGGCAGCAATTGGTATGAGAACAATTGGTGCACCAAATGTCATTGTGAAAATGGTGAGCGTGAATGTGTGGGAAGCTTGTGTATGCCCACCACTTGCAGTAACCCCGTAAAAATACCTGGACAATGTTGCCCACAGTGTCCAGTGGGTGTGGAAAATATATTGATTGCGCACGAGAACTCGATAGGCACAAGTAAATCTAGCCAAGCTGATAAAGAACTGCAAAGTGAATCCACAACAACTATAGCCATAATACTTGATAACGGTACGAATACAAGCTCCCCGGAACCTTCTGCCTTAGCCACTTCCACTTTGACTTCCTTAGAGACATCCTCAGAATCTTCAACAGTGCTTATTGCCGTCGAGAAGCAGTCAACTAGTAGTGAAGAGAAAACGGAGCTTACACACCCTTCAAGTGCAACCACTGATATATCTACGACTGATGTATCGGCGAGTACCACTGAATCCACAACCACTACTAGAAGCATTGATGATATTGCATCCGAGTCTTACTTCGGTCCTGTGATCCACACATCCACCGAGGAGAGTAGTACCTCGACGCATGTGGTGTTAGACCAAACTGGTGAAAAGACAACGCAGTCTATATTGGAACCAAAGTCTGATATTTCTACGTCTACTTCTTATTTAAACTCGGAATCGACATCCACTGTTGAACCAACACCGACGCCTGCATTTGTGAGCAGCACTAATGATACAGTTTCTACTGAAACGTCTACAATCGAATTGTCAAAGAGTACAGAGAATAGCAAGGAGTTCAGTACGACAACAAGCGCTTCAGTGGCTGACAACCTTTCGACTACGGTTGCTGCTTCTTATAAAGAAATTACAACATCCACGGAAACTTCACAAGAAACACCGCTCGCCATTGGTAATACTGAGTCTACAACTACCACCAACTTCAAGCCAACTGAATCGACGACTACAGAACTGGATTCCACTAGTTCCACAATTGGATTTTCTAGTACCACTTCAGTTGGGTCAACTACAACCATATCAACGACATCTTTGGTATCTGTGGAGACAAGCTCTACACATCTTTACAGTCCCTCAACCAGCTCGCCTCTTCCCAGCACCGAAAGTCCAAAGACATCCACCACTTTCACCACAAATTCACCATACTCCAGCACCGCAGCCACACAAACCGTTTCAACTGTCATTTCTTGGTACACATTTTCAACGTCGGCACCCTCACCGCCCATACCACAACCGACTGTCTATCAGCCGAGTGTACGACAGTTCTTCACACGTCCCGAGGTGCGTTATATAGGCGCAACAGTATTTGTCGCTTTCACTGTCATATGCGCGCTAGCGGTGTGGAAATTTTGTATGCCATCACGTAGCGAGAGACTAAAAAATCATTATCGAACGGTGCCCAGCTCGGAAGCGACCAGTTTGAGTCACATTTCAAGTACGTCGCACTCGTCTATGGCATAGATGGTGACCGAATGAGAAAGGGAAGTAGGAAATAAACAGAGATTAAGTGTTAGAAGGTGCTGCCATGATTCTCAGTGGTGGGCGCAGACTTTTTAAAACTGAATTACATATGTTGTTGTAGTTAAGAAACTTAGTCAAGTTTATGTTTAAGTTGCTATGGTGGGTATGACATATTATTTAGTTTTGGGGGATAATCGCTGTTAAAAGAATTACAGGTCGGGTTGCTAAGGCCCTTAAAGTGTTACAGATGTTGGGTATTTCAAAGAATTCAAAATAAAATAATGATATTAATATCGTAAATGTTTACACAATAACCATATGGTGTATTTAGCACAGCCAGGCACCAGACTTGCACTGCTTAGCCAATTCACACACCTGAGTTGACTTTTTTTAAACGCTACTATTCAATATATAATATATAGCAATATCTATCGCAAAACCAAACTTTTCATATAAGTTATCTTCTACAAAAAAAGTAATTTCAATATGCAATACAGTTCTATGGTTTCCATAATAGGACAAATCAGAGTCTAGGTATTAAATATGATAAAAAGTAATGAGAAATGAAAATATCGGCGCTACTTCGTTAATTCCGTTAAAGTTTTGTTGTCAAAGATGCACCACGTTCTGAAGTCGAATTGCCGAAAATGTTGTTAAAAATGGAAATCGTCAAGTCCAACTGAAGGCCAATTTATAGCGCACCGAAATCGGCATATTTCTGAGGCGGATTATTACTGGTGATACGACAACGTTAACCGAAAATAGCCGTGGTCGTAGCGTTTGCTGGGTGTTTGGGGTCGTGAACATGAAATGAGGTATTATGAGGTACTTCTATACGGTCAAACAGTTAAAGCGCATCTTTACTATTAACAATTGAACCGTCTGAAGAAAGCCAGTAGCCGCATATTTGAACTAAATCGGATCATTTCAACAACTTTCAATTTTATGGAAAAATAATTTTGAACTATGCAGACCAGCTCCGACCCTAACAACCGCCATAGTCGACGTATTACGTATACTCTTGGATGACGTCTACGACAACTTATCTATTATTACCCGTTACAACAACAACGACATGTATTACATTCCTAACTGTCACTCAGTGATCGTTAGGTATAGTTAGGCTTAGTCTTAAGCTTTTGGGCGCACAATGTCGAAACACGAAACATTTTTCTGATATAAAAAAAATTCTGAGCTGAGGTATCAGGCATACAAAATCGACTTACAGCTTATGACACCCTGTATTTGTGATATTTATGAATAAGTATGAAAGTAAATTCATATATTCACTTGGCATCGCCGACACTATAACCTTCTCAAGCAAATAAACACTCAAAACTATGAAAGTGTCAAAACAAACGCCAGCAATTATTGGAAAAAATTACAACTAAAAAAACAAAATTATAATTCTCATTTTAAATCTTATTTTAATATTGTATTTACTTAGGAATTAAGCACTACACTATGGCAAATGATTATTTTTAATTTTTTTTTATTGTAACAAATTTTACTATTAAAATGCATATGTGTGTATTATATTGGAATGTACTGAAAGAAAGCGCAAAAAAAATCAGCAATTGGCAAAGATAATTTAAATAATAAATTTTGTAGGCGTTTACGTGTGTCGCAAGACAGCAAAAAACAAAAAGGGAACAACAAATTCTCACACAAATATTTATTTTTAATTTATTTGGATTTTTCTCTATTTTTGTTTTTGTACTGTCGCATTATTTAACGTAATTGGCAATTGTGTAATAATATTTTTATTGGCAATTAAAATCGCATTAAAATCAATGTGTACAAATTCATTTTGTTTTTTTTTTTTTGTTGTTGTTTTTCATTTTATTTTCCATTTCCTGATATGAAATGCGTGTCATTTCAATTTAGTGAACGCTTTTTGTTATTGTTTTGTTTTTTCTGTATTTTTTATGCACTTTTTTTGTTTTCGGTCGAAAAAACGCCTACATTAATTATGCACACACACAAACCCACACGAATCAGAAGACATTTGCAATTAAACTGATTTATTTTTATTGACATAGTTATAATTTACAGATT